GCCTTTTGTGGGGGGAAAAAAAAAAAAAAAAAAAAAAAAAAAAAAAAAAAAGAAGTCTATTTGTTTAAATGAACAGGAGAGAGAGAGAGAGAGAGACAGCAGGTACATAGGGAGGGATTTCAATTAATAGTTAAATTTTCAGTTGGAACTACTTCATATTCTTTAAGCCTCAAAGGCTTTAAGAAGTGTAAATTTGTAGTTTAATTTATTTTTCTTAATAATAAATAATTACTTTCCTCAATTTTTACACTTCCCCAGTCCTTAATACGATGTATCATGTATCATATGATTTGTTTGTCAAAGCTTTGATTTACTTTCTTTTCTGGATAAAGAATAAAAAAACCATCAAAGATCTTCTTTTAATTCTTTTATTCACGGAGTATTCTTTTTTTTTTTTTTCCCATTGTTCACGGGTTGTGTTTCCTTGGTATCATAAACTAGTTTATTAATTAATTTAAAGCCTTGTGTAATGTTGTAGTATCCAATCTCTTCATGTAGAAGTTTCTTATTTGTGCATTTTTTTTTCTTAAATGCATATTTGTGCTTTTGTTAAAACAAAAAAGAAAAAAATAATAATAAAGTGATTGATGCTCTTGGTGAAAAAAATATTTGTGCTTTTGTTAAACAATAAAATTCATTTATTTGAATTTTTAATTTGAGTTAAAATTTAATTTTATGTGATAATTTTTTATTATAATAAAAAAATTAAATGTGATTGTATCTGAAATTTTTTTATTATAATAAAATTTAAATTTTAAACTTAAAATGGTAAAATGAAGTGATGAAAATATAGTGGACTTGTCATTTAATTAGGCATTTAATTAGGCTTAGAATTGGGAAACTTTTCTAGCTATGTCACATGGGTTGTTTGACCAGTAATGGACGTATACAATTGGAAATCAAGACCTTTGTCTGCAACCAATTTTTTTTATTATTTTTTATTTAAAAAGAGCATTGAAAATTGGAATGCATTACAAAATAATGGGATTTAAAAGGACAAGACGTACCAAGTGGAATAATCTGGTTCTCGATACTTTCAAACACTTAACGCGGTTTTTTTTTCCCCCTCGTTTAATTCCTTGGAAACTCCCATAAAGAGGTTATGGGTAAATATCACTGACAAAACATATGCAAATTTTAACGAAATCATATTATAGTAATATCATGACAAATATATACAAATTAACAGAATTTTAGGAAAAAACTGATAATTTAACACAAAGTACTATTATTATTATTTTGAAACCAAAGGGTTTGAAAGGGTTGAATGTCACACAAAGCGATTCAAATTATGACCTTGATATTTGACGTCAATGTGATAATTGAATAATAGAGCTCCAAAAAGATAGATTCAGGCAGCAAATACGACGTCTCAGTATTTTAACATGTAAGCTAAATGGGGAATTGATTTTGTATTGTAATAAGAGACTTTTTTTGATACGTTAATATACCGATAAGTTAAGTTTTTTATCGGTTAGATCTGCATAAAATCATATAAAAATTAAAAATTACATAAATTTAACGGTTAAAAATTTTAATTTATCGGTACACCAAACGTACTATAAAAATCTCTCTTATAATAAATATAATGAAGAAAGATGAGGAGTCAATGACTGCTTGGTCAAACTGCATGAGCTTTTTAGCTTTTCTCGTGTGGACTTTGGGTTTAGTTAGCGTGGAGAAGACGTGGATTCAATTTAAGACTTAGAGAGAATTCTTTTAGGAGATACATGCTTGTTAAACAAGAAAATAATTATCGAGAATTCTGTTAATGTTTTTTCGATTTTGTTTATAATTATGGGTTTACGATCTAGATAATAACAGAGAAGATCTATTTTTACGTTTATGTGAAATAAGAGTTTTTATTACGTTTACACTTTAAACTTTTATGACATTGATGTCGGTATTAATATCCGATAATATTAATCAACTCCTCTATATTTCTATAGGATGCCAACATGTTTATCCTTATCAGTTTTCTGTTGACTACAAATTTCAGCCCTAAAATCTTAGCCAGACTATTATTATATTATAATCATATTAGTAATAGCAGTTCTTTTCCTAATATATATTTGTGGAGTAGATATGGAAAAAGACCAACTTGAAAATCACCAATCCGAATTTTTGGAGTAGATATGGAAAAAGACCAACTTGAAAAACCCCAAACCGAATTTTTTTTTTTTTTTTTTTTTTTTTTTTTTTTGCCTTTTTGAGGAAACCTACCTGTTGTTTACTTTTCAACAAGAAGTAAAGAAAAGTCTAATGTGTCAAAATAACCAACTTGTTGATTCATTTTAGTTTTTGTCAAAGGAAGTTCTTGATGTGTCATATATTACTTATAATTCTTTATATCCTTTAACGGCGTGTGGACCTAAGGGGCTTATATGTCAAGTGGGTGGTTAAAATGTCATTTCACTATTAATTTATACACAACTTTTTACTTATCTATTTATTTTTGTAAAGGAAGAACTTGGTGTGTTATTGCTTTACTAACTGCAAATCCCACGCCGATAACGCCATTATTTACGGTTTTTTTTTCTTGTTTTAGTGCTCATGAACTATCCTTAAAAAAACAAAAAAAAAACAAAAAAAAAACAAAAAAAAAGAGAATGCTCTTGAACTATTATTCAACTTTTTATTGTTTGTTATGTCGGCGAGTGAAAACAAGAATAACGGAAATAAAATTTTCTAGGTCCCCTTTACAACTTTCCTTTTCCGTCCCTTTTTTGGCGGCTTCTTATTCCAGATAATGAGTCCGTTTGATGAAGCTTTTTAGTTTTTACTTTTGTTTTTAGTTAGAAAAAGAGAATTAAAAGTTATAGGCGTGTTTAGAATTGATCTCATTTTTATTTTTCACATTTTTGATAAAACAATAAAAATATTTTTAAAATAACGTTTGGCGCAATAAAGACAAAAAATAAAAATGAAAATGATTTTTTAATTTAATGTAAAATAAGAGAGAAATGAAGAATTACTTTTAGTCGTTTTTCATTTTTTATTTTTATTTTTTTTTCTCTCGAGCAAAGAGAGAGAGAGAGACATTAATGAGTTCTTTATATTGAAAAAAAAATCTATTAATAAAACTACCAAACGCATTTTTAAAAATGATTTTTGTCTCAGATTGCAAACGTTTTCATTTTCATACAAAAAACAAAATCATCTTAGAACGAGTTCGAAACGCGCCCATAACTTTTCAGTAAGTGTTGGAATAATGTTTGTTATACTAAGGATTTACCTCATGCTAAATTCTCCTAAGCTTAATGTCTTCTAAAATATTCTGAGCTCAATAATATTCTGAAAAGGAACAATAAAATTCTTCCTTTTTGCTTGATTTTTTTATGTTCTGTGCTTTTTGGTGTTTTCTTTTTCGTTGTTTAAATCTGTTTATCCAAGTTGAACACTCAGAATTCAGGTTATTGGTTGTTAGTGAAATATCATCGTCAACAATGTTTATAGTGTTCTAATAGAACTCTTATACAAGTTTTAAAGCCTATTTAAAAGTACTTTTTTTTAGAATTTACATTTTGTAATTTTGACGGAAAGCTCTTTTAAAACTTTTAAGAAGCTCTTCCAAATAGGCCCAAGAACACTCAAAGTTTTCTGTAAAGAAATGAATGTTTTTTTTTTTTTTCTAATGGAGAAAATTTTATTTAATAATTAAATGGATACAAACAGAAAATTAAGTTGTTAATAATCCCAACAAACTAAGGAGACGTTTGGTTCATGGATTAAAATCATGATATTAGAACTATTTTTTATTTACGTGTATTTTTTGTGAGAGAAAATACTGTAGCGAACCATAAACCATGATTCAAATTGAGATACGAATCCCCCAACCAAACAACCCCTAAATAGCTTACCCTATGAATTATGGTCATGATGTTTCGAGGAGGAGGAAATGTCTAACTAGAAATAGCGGAAATGTTGTGGCCTACAACTTAAGCAAGTGGCCTTTGTTTATCTCCGTTTGTAAAAATCTCTTGTAATTTGTTTTGTTTTGTTTTTTTAGGGCTACTCAGCGATTTGTAACCATCGGTTTTGGTTGGTTTGGTCACCGAACTGAAGTGAAACCGAGTGTTGAGCCGAGGATGTATTTTTTTGGCTGGTTTACCAACCGGTTATGTTCAGTTTCTGGCAGTTTCATATGACTGTAACCCTGTAGTTTATGATCAGTAGTCAAGCCGTTTTTTAGCATTTTTATGTGGTTCTTTTTCGATTGTATACTGTATTGTAAGGGTGTGAAACAAACCATTCAAACCATTAAAACCAACCAAATCAAATCGAAAGAAATTCAAACCAAACCAATTGATAATCAGTTTGGTTTGGTTTAAATTTTTTAAAAAACTAATTACATTAGTTTAGTGTGTGGTTTACCCCTAAAAAAATTAAACGAACCAAATAAATTTCTATCTATATAATTTCCTAAAATCATATATATTTCATATGTATATAACTTATTTATATTTAAGAAACTCTTTTATTCCAAAATTAAATAATCATAATTCTATATGTTTTTATTATAACCTGTATATACGGTACTAACAATATTTCTACGCTCTACTCTCAAGCTCTCTCCTCTCATTCTGACTCCTCTGGATTCCGATCGTGATTCTCTCTAAAGCCTTGTCTTTTTATTAATGTGAATATAGCCTCTATAATAATAAGTATCTCTAACTTGCCTATATTCATTTTCTTTTATATATATATATAGAAAAGCTGAATATCATATTCAATCATGAGTCACAACTAATATTACATAAATATATCTATAATTTAATTGCTTTGATTTCATTTTGTATTTAGAAGAAAGAGAAAAAGAGACAAAAGAGCACACAAAACATTAGTACCATTTATGGTCGAGACTCTCAAGATGTTGTAAAATATTAGTTCAAACTAATTAGAAAAACCAAACTAAATC